GGAAATAACAGCGTGTATTTTTGGTATCTAAGCAGAAGTATCGTCAACAAATATATAAGTTCTGAAAGTATTTTGCGCGGCGGCGCATGCGTTTGAAGAATCTAAGATGCGAGCTGCATTGATATATACATGGCATCTTTGTGTAGAGTTGCAAGTTTTACATATTTTTGTTTTTTTCACACAATTTGTTGTTTAATATCCCTTAGGTTAATATATATCTTAAACGCGAGCATTTGTAAAGCACTTTAACTTTAACTTTAACTTCAAATTTATCCATACGCGTCGAGTATGCTAACAGACACAAATAAAAGTGGCAACACCGCTTGTCGCTTGTTTAGGTTGCGATGTTGCAGATACTCGATGAACGAGTATCATCACAGTGTATCCCGTGTATCCTCGCTTCTGGCATTTACCGTAAATATAACGCATCTTTGGGAGACAAAGATGTGCGGCACTAATCGAAGACTACTTATTTGCATTATGACATAACGTAAGTAAGTTTGTTTATACGCACACATACTCAATTAGTGTGGCACAATTCAGCATTGGGTCCACACTATTTTTTGTATCAAACTTTTCTGTAGGACTTGTAATATGACATATGTACATATTAACGCATAATGTGGGAATATAAACAAAGTTGGATCTTAAATAATATTATAATCTTTAATAATCATTTAATTATTGTTACATTAACATTGTGTAGCATGATATTCTCGTTAGTTGCTAAATTTCATAATGAATGCTGCTAAAGTAATGCAATTTCAAAGTTATCTCATTCCTACTGTTCTTACGAACTTGGGCCTGAAGTCCCAAATGTAAAGATCTAACCCATTGGCTACGTTAATATGTATTATATAATATGCATTATGTACACGCATATGAATAGCTGCCATTTTGTACAGCCTAGAGATACGCCATTTTGTTGTCCCAACATACAAGATGAAAGTTGACAAAATTAAATAAAGATGTCAATTTAAATAGATCGCTCTGGCATTATGACAGAGCATAGTCATTTGTAATTTGAAAAATTAGAAAAATAAAGTAATTAGCGATTGACAGTCTTGGTAAATATAATTTTTTTATTAGCTTAAATTTGGTTGAACGGTTCAACTAAGTACTTAATGAATATATTTGTAATAAGTATATAATTAAGGCAACATTAATATTTTTATTCTCATGATATGTAAGGTGCATCTCGTGAGAATAAAAATATCAAATCCAAATACATAGATCTGCTATGTATAAATAATATGTATGAATATAGAAACATACGGATCTAAAAAAATCGATCTTTGTGAAAGTACCGGCTTCTCCCCACTCCGTGTATTCGACATTGTATTACCAAAGTGACGCACACTGACCTTGTCAGAGAATGGGGAAAGAAAAGAGATTAATAGAGTTACTTAACAAGTATTTAGTGTCGTAAACTATTATTGAAATATAAAATAATGCTCTCTTCCTACGACTGCTGTTGCAATTTGATTTTTTAATATACATTATCTTGAAAAATATACTCATTAATAGTATGTTAGAAGATATAAATTTTGTTAAATTAGTCTATATCTACGCAAAATGCATATAATTGTTTTACTACTACTGTAAAACATTTTACACTTACAACTATTTAGCATGATCAGGGGCGTAGGTATAGAGAAAGGGGCAATGGTAAATAAAAATCTTTTAAATACTATTTTCTCTCCCGGGAAATAACACAGAATGCGGGAGAATGTTGCATATGTGGTTCTAAAGTAGATAATTTTATCGAATAAGTTTTCTCTGTAGTATTAAAAATATGCTTGTAGTCTACGAATTAAAGCGCCATGTTGATTCGGCTTCGTGCGGAATCGTTAAATTTCGTTGATACACATGTCGGTAGTCCGGGTCGGGGCCTATGCTCAGCAGTAGCAGTACCTATTCGTTCAATAGGGAAGCTCGTGTAGAATCCCGCTCTTCTGACTACACGTTTTTTAGATTTTTAGTCGTTAACATGACAAATATTTCGAAATTGTTACGTGTTGTGNAGCATATTATTAGTACGGGGTATTGTATTATATTTCATGTAGTAATTACCTACACGTGATAGCTGAACAATACAGTACGTATCTGTCATGCATTTCGAAAATTCTAATGACAAGCGTTAACATACTGTACTTTTAATCCGCCATTTTTGTTAGCCTGGGCACTTCTGGCCCAGGAATAACACATTGGCGCTCGTCGAGGGGCCCACAATTTGTTCCCCCTTTTTTATTTGTTCATGTTAAGAATTGTTCGTATTCCGCACGCAGTTGCCTTTAATGCTAGTTGCTTACTTTAAGTACGCGTGCTTATTATTAGTCAATGACACCGTAGTACGGAATGAATCGTAAAAATCTATGAGAAGCAAAAATATATATAACACATCTTCACATTCCGTTTATGATTTTCATTTATGATTTTAATATTTTATTGCCCCGAGAAATGGTCTAATTTAATACGAATTAGGAATTTTTTATACTATACATTATCCGAAACAATCAATGTGTAATATACATTTTGTAAATGATAGGAAAATTGTATATAGCAGATTTTTGTTTTGTTCATCTCTCAATTTTTGTATTCCACTTTACATTAAACAAATTATTGTCATTACAGATTAAGTAAATAAATGAGTAAATCATTCATATCAATAAATATACAAATAATATTTACAGGTCAGAAAATATTAAATGAGTCATTCTGGCACTATCTCATATCGTATTCTAATGAGGAAAAGAAATTACTTGTTACTTTTGCGATGGAGACTTTGAGAAGTGATACACTATGTGCTTCTGACTCCATGCATTCTTTATCGAACATTAATTCACGTATTGATGAATTATCAAAAGAAAAAGAGGACTTTTTATGTGGTACAGATGAAGAGGGTGATGATGAAGATGCTCTCTCAGATGATAGTTTGCGCTTAAGGCTTTCTGATGATGATGAAGAAGAAGCTCAGAGTGCTCTAACATCAGCTTTGGATGGTGAAAGCACCAGCCTAGAGATTAATAAAAATGGTAATTATGGTATCTATAAAATTCTACAAAATATCACAAAGACATCAACAACATTATTTTACTTGAATTGCAGAAGTGAGGCCTGACGAAAAAGGAGACGTAGAATCTGCTCCAGTTCCTGATTCAGAAAAAAATAATACTCTGGTGCAATCAGAGGTAGTGAATGAAGAGGAACAATGTTCAGGTAATGATTTAATGGATGACAACATTGTAATTGTTCATGAAAAAAAGGGTACAGAATCTACAGGTGAATCGAAGAAGCTACAATTAAATAATATGTTTCGCCCATGGCCATGTTATGAATGGAGACTTGCTAGGTCTAACTATCGACCATTTCGTAGTAATCCTCGTTATACAGTACCTAGGAGATATTATAGACCTCAGCCATATGAACATAGAAGATATTCTAATGTAGTTCCTCATTTTGAACGCGGGAGAGCTAATGGAATGGTTAATTCATATAATACCAAACAACTGCCTAATAAGGTACAGGACTATACACCTGGCGAATCATGCAATCTAAAGAATTCATCTGGAGATGACCAAAATACGGAGTCTGAGCCAATTAAGAGTACTCCTCTAAAAGAAACAATTATTATGGATATTATAGAAGTTGAAGAAGGCATGAACACATTGAATGGTGAATCTTCAGTTAGTAATGACGATAATGATCAAAAAGAAGAAGAATCATTGAATGAAAATAATTCTATCAATAATTCAGTAATATTAGAGAATAATTCAGAAACAATAGCGTCTAATAATGACAAATGTACAGATATTATAGCTACTGAGGATATTATTTTAAATGATAAGTGTGATGAACAAGTTACAACCTCCGTAATCGATTCTAATGATATTAGTTATGTACAAATAGATCAAACCATTAATAATAGTATTGATACTTGTTCTAGAGAGATTTATAATTCTGATAATTCAAATCAAATGGACTTATCATTTGTACACAAGAAAAGCGAAACTACAGAATTTGTTAAAAACCATGATGTAAATAATGAAAATCAATCTGAAATCTCCTCTAACACTATTGTGAATGTAAATGAGCAGAATAAAGAAATTAAATTAGACAAACAAGACTTAAATAAAAATACAGAATTTACAGATGAAAATCAGAAAATAGAATTATCTGAAAATAATTATATATTAACTCCTTTAGATACTACAGTAGATAAAGAAATAGTAAATAATGAATTAAACATAGATGAAGGAACAGCTACTAATGAAATTGAACAGAGTAACGAAAATAAAAGAGATACAGTTATTGTACAAAGCTTGAAGTCGAATGAACGTTGTGAAAAGAAAATTATATCAAATGATTTGACTAACAACGAAGATACAGTTACACAAAATAATGTATTAGAAGAGCTGGCGACTGCCACTGATAAATGTGATGACACTCAATTAAAAAATTCTGATAATAGTAAAAATTATATAGAAATTTGTAAACCGGTCGAAGATGAGACAATTCAATCCGAAATTAAAGTTCAGAAAGACAGGGAAGATACTATAGAAAAGGATGTAGAACTAACAGAGAAAGAAACCGGGCCAACGAATGTTACGAATAGAATAGAGCAACAACAAGGAAACAAAGAGTCAAAAACGAATGAAAAAAAATCGGTCAATGTAGAAGACCAGAATAATTTCTTAGGTTTTGTTACTAGCACAAAAAATGATAGAAAAGATGATAATGTTAAAAAAAATGATGACGTTCTCGTACCAACGCGAAAAAGGAGGCGACGAACAAAAAAAATGATGCTACAAGAACTTACTTCAGGCGAAGACACACAAGGTATGATTCGTACGTAGAAATGAAATGATCGTAATATTGTATTTTATGAAAGTGCATGTTTAGGTAGATGTGCTTGTTATTTATAGCCATAAATTATTAATTTGTTTAAATTTACAGGCCAGACCATATAAATGTCAACATCTAAATATCTTCACTATTTATGGTCCCATAAAAGAATTCCTCGGGACGAAGTTATATTATTTTAAGAGGCAAATGGAATCGTAAATAACAAACTTTTTTAGGTCATTTTTTAAGATTTCAATGTTATCAGGTATTTTTTTTTAAAGAAGATTGTATAGTTGTTCCTGTACCGATCGTTGAAGCTTTCTATTCTCTACAAAAAAGTATTACCCTGTTAATATCGAAAAACCATTACTTAAGGAGATATCTCGGAAATCATATTATTGGACCCGTCGGTGCAAAAACTATGCAATCCCATTTTGAAAAATAGCGATGCTCTTGAAATCTAACTAAAAAAAAATAGCCTAAAGAAAGTTTACCATTGCATTTGCCTCTTAATACATTTTTGTTGGATTACGTACTCTCACGTTCTTTGCAATCTATTATTTGAGCGCGGGTATTTACTTATATTTATTTAGTACATTTGCAGCGGAGAGCGAGTGTCGTTCGTCGCGTAGTATACCCGTATTGTGCTAAAACAATGTAGTTTCATCCTGAGGAGTCTTTTCACAGAACCATAAATACAGAAGATATTTAGGTGCTCCCATTTATATGATCAACCCTATGTAATTAAGAAAACCTTACAGTATGTTTATCTTGGGAAAGGAATATACCTCATACTTTTGAAAAAAGAACGACAACAGGTGTGTTAGATTGGAATTATTTTCAGCACTCATTTCTTTTGTTCACACCCATCCCATAGTCGTGTAGTCGGTATAGTTTGATGTGTGAAATTCTCAGGGTTTTTGATCATTTTTTAGTATCGTATAGAACTCAACCTTTCGAACAACTTTTATCTTTGCATGTTAGTGGCAATCGACCTTAGTTTCAGAAATATTTGCAAGAAAGTGGCGGTACGGTAAAAAGATGGTATCCCATCAACGAGAGCCGAGACGAAAACCTCACATAAAATTCATTCTCTGTATGAACTTAAGACAGTAAATTGTACAGCATCTTCGCCAAGTACCTCTGGATTTCGCTGTCTCTTCGATCTAGATCCTTGCGAAATGCTCAAAAATTTTACAACACAACTCAAACGCGACCATTATTACAACGATCGAAATTATGAACCTACAATAAAGGACGTGTTAGTACCATTCAAACCGGAAATAACGGTCCCTTTTCATCCCTTTTGTATGAGATAACATTGTTAGAGTGGTCGTAAAATTTCATTTTGTGATCGAATTTTACCCAAATATCTCGAAAGATAAGTTAATCGGTGCTAACATACTGTTATAAAAATCGAGAGCGTCACGGATCGAAAGGATGATTTAAAATTGATGTTTACTAGTTAGCGCAAGACTTTTCATTGTAATATTTAATTTGTTACAGTTGTTGGAAGGCAAAAACGGCGAACCGCTAAAAACGCTGAAGAAATAATAAGGAAGAAATTTCTCAGTAACGATACTGATACAGAATCTAGTGACAGCTCGGATAAATTTGTAGCCGTAAATTATAAAATGAATCTTACGCCAGATGTGCGTCCGTTATCTCCACCTTCATTAAAACGTACTAGTCTGGATAATCATATTGCTGATATAAATGGGAGTATTAAAAGAGTTAAACTAAATCACGGATCACTGCTGAAAGAAGTAAAAGAAACCAATATCGATTTAGAGAAAATTAAAAAATTAAATTTCATTCGCAAATTTTTTCACCGTGATTTAAATGAGAAACTGCCAAAGATAACACAGGAAGTATGTCCAAGTTATAAAATATAAAGTCATATATCTTATTTATATTTTTATATTTCACTAATAATATATACTTAAAGGAATTAGAGGAACTCTTAATACAAAAAATTGTTGAAACGATCACTATGCGTGATGAAATTGGTAAATTGAGGGAACAAGCACAAACATCTGAAAGGAATCAAGAAATAATGCGTGCCAAGTATCAACAATTAGCTAGACAAGTTAAAGATTTTGAAATGGTCCTGAATCGTTATGCGTCGGATCGGCGAGCGAATAATGACAAAACTGTACCACCAATTAAGATCAATAGATCCGTTGGATTGCAAGTTAATATCTTAGTGGTATGTAGATAGCACTGCATTTTAAATATCTACTA